AGAGAGAGAGAGAGAGAGAGAGAGAGAGAGAGAGAGAGAGAGAGAGAGAAATTTGTACTTTAAAATGTTTCTTTCTTACCTGTTGATAATAGTGGAGCGCATCACCGAGGCGGTCCCATTTTCATCCAAACTTTCCTGGTAACGCCATAGGCCGCCGGTGTAGTTGGTTCGCTCGAAGACAACCACGTCGAAACCCTGTTCGAGGCAGGCTTTGCAGGCGGTCATGCCGGTGGCACCAGCACCGATGATGGCTATTCGTTTTGGCATTTTACCTGCAAGAGTTTGTGGTAATGACAGCTGGTGATGTAAAAGTTTTGCTTAGAAATGACACTTGTTGAGAGGATGATTTGATGTGGACGTGTTTATATATAAACAAAACTCTTCTCTATTATCGTACTCGTCGGCAAGTGCCGAGTGTACCAAATTGATTGTTTCTCTTTACTTGCTCATTTCTATTAACAATGTAGCAAACAACTATTGATAAAAACTACTTAGGCAAAGTCTTCTCATGTGAAGGAGTATGCGTTCAAAAAAAGAACAGCTGCAGTAGCTGCAGTTTTTACAGCAGCAAGTTTTGGCAACTTTGTTGCACTCCATTGTACTGTGTGTGCATTCAATCTTTAATTGCAGCAGACGGAGCACAGATTATGCACTTGCATGATAGGAACTGCAGTTTTCAAGAGTCATAATAAGTTTATCGTGGCAAGTTTGACACTCAGAAGTTTAAACAGTATTAGTACTACAGGCCAAACACACAACTGACGTTCAAAATTTGTTCAACGTTTTTGGCCAAAACTATCATTAGGAATCATCGGGTGTTTTACCAGAAGATTTTGGCTGGAGCGAGTAGGATTCTAGCGGTGCACGCCTAGAGGGCACGGGGTTGAAGGTTACTTGATAACTGTCAACTTCCGTCGACGAGAGACCGACAAAATCAAGCAAAGTGAGCGGGGCCCGAAAAATCAGGTCATGTAAAATATCTGCAGTATAGTAATTCCAAGGTCCTAGCGATGCACTTCTAAAATCTACAAAAATCCTCGCTGGAGTTATGGCTTGCCAGCACTTTCCCAACTGTTTTGTCTGTTATTGGTCCACACCTTATTGTGAAGCATAACTTGTTTTTTTACTAGTTGATTTTACCTTAGCTTTTTTCACTTCTCATTATCATGATTTACTAATACAACAGTGACTGTTTTTTGCTGCACGTCTGCCGAGTTCATCCAAACGCCATAGTACAGGGTTTGTCCTACTGTGAAGTTCGGTTGTACAAGCATTCACATTTTGCCCTTACAATAAACATCGGCTGCACTTGTGTTGTGGCTGCACTTTGCTTTACCTTCAGGCTAACACTCAAAAGCTTTTTTAATCAATAGAGTCAATAGATAGTGCCTCTCTCTCTCTTCCTCTCTCTTCTTTCTATGTTTGTGTTGTATCATAGAATTGAGAAAAAGAGTAAGCAGCAGTAAAATCAAAATCAAAACAAGTTATGCTGTTGATCCAGTGATGATCCGCCGTGGTGCAGTTGTTCTTTTTCTAAATAGCTGTGTCAAGTGAACTTGCTGTTTCCTTCTTAACCTTTAATCGCCGATTCATTTTGCTTATTTAAACGGACGCTTTCCTAGGCTGAGACACATTTCACATTGCCAATCCTCTTCTTTAGAATAGAACACTGCAAATCTGCAAACTGCCACCTTTTCTCCTTTTGTCAAAATGTCACTGCTCGGTGATTTATTCCAGCGTCTGGTGCGTTTCATCCTCGACCGCATTTGCCTGCTGATGGAGCTGCTCTTCTACACCGACAATCAGGCTTACCTGCCGCCCATCACCGATCCGCTGCTGCTGCAGCCGGCCACCATTCTGGCCGCCCAGATCAAGTCTGGAAAGGTAAGAGAAAGGAGAAGTCCTTGATACTGATGTCTTCATATTCAAAAAACACACTCTTCTTCTTTTTCTTCAGCTTAAATCAGAAACAGTCGTTCAGGCCTTCATCAGCCGCATCCGCGAGGTTCAGCCACTGATCAACTCTATCATCGACGAGCGCTTCGAGGCGGCGCTGGAAGAGGCGCGCACCCTTGATGCGACCATCGCCAAACAGCTGGCAGAAAAAGGGGAGCTGGACGCCTCCCTTCGCTCTAAGCCCTTCCTCGGCGTGCCCTACACCGGCAAGGATGGCCTCGCCATGAAGGGACTCCGCTTCAGCTGTGGCATGCCCGACCGAAAGAACATCCGATCAGATGAGGACTCCTCCATTGCCAAGCTGTGGGCGGAGGCGGGGGCGATTCCGCTGGCGATGACCAACGTGCCCGAACTGCTGCTCTGGTAAGTGGAGTGGACACACTTTATAGAACAATCTTTTCATCCCTTTTCATTGTCATTCCCCCCCCCTCTTCCCAGGTGGGACACTGTAAACAAGTCCTTCGGGCGCACCCACAACCCCTACAACCGGGCCCTGATTCCGGGCGGCAGCACCGGCGGCAACGCCTCGCTCATCTCCTCCGCCGGCAGCGTCATGGGCATCGCCTCCGACATTGGCGGCTCCACCCGCCTGCCCGCCTACTTCTGCGGCGTCTACGGACACGCCTGTTCGGTGGGCTCGGTGCCCACCGACCACCAGTGGCCGCCCTTTGCGCCCAGTCGCCTGCGGATGGTCTCCTACGGGCCGATGTGCCGCTACGCCGCCGACCTCCGCCCGCTGGTGCAGATGTACATGAGCAAGGCGGCCGGAAAGAAGGAGTTCTCCTCGCTGAAGCTGAACGAACAAGTGAAACCCTCCCAGCTGAAGGTCTTCTACCTGACCTCCTTCAGCGATCCCAGCCTGTCGCCGACTGATAAGCCGCTGGTGAGGGCGGTTCAGGCCGCCGCCCGGCACCTCCAGTCGCTGGGCGCCACCGTGCGAGAGGTGAAAGCCGCTGAAGAGCTGACCGGCCTCTCCTCCGGCTTCGACGCCTGGATGGTGAAGATGTTCGAGGATGACACGCTGCCCTTCTCCCTGGAGCTGACCAACCGCACTGGTCACCTGAACATTTGCTGGGAGCTGGCCAAGGCGCTGGTCGGCCTGTCTGAGCACACGCTGCCCATTCTCTTTACGGCGCTCTTTCAGACGCTGAAGAAGGCGCTGCCGGGCGCCCAGGCGGCCCGAGAGCACTGTCTGGCGGAGCACGGCCGCCTGAAGGCCGCCCTTCACCGCCTGCTCGGCGACGACGGCGTCCTCCTCCTGCCCACCTACCCGGAGCTGTCCGTGAAGCCGGTGAGCTGCTTTCTAAAGTTCAAGAACACCGTCTACGCGGGCGTCTTCAACACTCTTCAGGTGGTGATGACCTCAATTCCGCTGGGGCTGACCATCGAGGAGGACGGCGTCAGGGGCGGACCGGTTCCGCTGGGCATCCAGGCGGTGGCCAAACACTGCAATGACCACCTGACGTTGACGGTGGCAGAGCTGCTGGATCGCCAGTTTGGCGGCTGGGCGCCGCCCACAAAGGTGACGATCAAGTGAAGAGGGGGGGGGGGGGGGAACTACCTGTTTTTTGTATCAAACAATTATTTTTGGGCAAATGTTATAAAGCTTGGTTACCCATTTTGAAGTTGAATGTTTTATGTTTCAGAGTTTTAAGCACCGTTGGCACAAATCATCCAGACACTGAAAGTTTTGTCTGTTTTCTTGGAAAACTATCTTTGAATATGTTGAGCAGAAGTACTCAGTCTACAGTTTACAGTGGGAATGCTAACAAGCAGATTCGGTATAATAATACGATCATCAGAAATGACCCTAATAATAAAAATCACAGAAAAACTTCAGCGTTTTGACACAATGGCAATTGCTGACTGAGGACAAATACTGAGAGTAAACAAAGTTGGGGAGGAATGATGATGGCAAACTTGAATTTACCACTTCAGTAGATATTTCTGTTTCTTCATCTACTAATTCTCTTCCAACTGTATCTTTCGCACCAAATTCGCCACGGTCTGCTTCTTTGGAAAGGTAATGCAGTCACGCAGAAAGCGGTACACGTCATCACTGGGAACGCCCAGCTTGAGCAGGGTGAGCAGGTGCTGCGTCAGCTCAGGGGTCAAGTCGACGCCCGCCGCCTGGGCGAGCTCCGAAAAGGGGGTGATGTCATGAATTGGAGCATTTTGTGGCGGATTTCGTGGCACTTTGAAGACGCCTTCATCACCATTTTTATCCTTAATCTCCACCCCGTTTTGAAGCGAATTGGGCGTGAAGGAGAGAGAGTGTCGAATGTGCTTTGGTTTAGTCACCGTCTTCACCCGAAGGGCCCTTGAGCAGTTATTGCTGATGCTGGCACAGGAGGAAAGGTTCGCCAGCGAGCTGTCAGCTTGCGAAAAGCGAGAGGAGTTGTTCAGATTGAAGGAGTGATTGGAGCGGAGGGACTCGTTGGGTCGGTCCTATCGATTTGTTGTGGGGACAAACATTGTGATATTTTAGCATTGTGGGGAGCAAAATCATTGATGAAAGAAGCTCTTACCTTGTTGGAACAATGTGATTGATTCATTGTGATTGCTCGATTGATATGCTTGAATGACTAGCAGAAGAGATCGGAGATTTGGTAGTGAGCAAAGAGTGCTAAACAAGCAAAGATGGGTGAACGGAAGAGGACAGGACAACTCGCCTTGAACAAACAAACAAACAGCCAAAGTGATGTGCCAAAACAAAACAAAACAAACATCGAGCATGTCTTCTTGCCCACGCGCGCACGCAGAAACTGTCATCAGCAGCTGTGCGAATTTTGCCAGAAGAAGGCGCTACTGAACTGGCGAAAAAAAGTCGTGCACCGAAAAAAGCGATTACAAATTCATCAAAAATTCTTTTGCTTTGTCATTCGCGCAAGAAGAAGACACCGACCCTCTTTTTCCGCCAACTCGGCGATACTACTCTTATTTTAGCTGCACCAGGTAAACCTGCAAAAATGTCAACTTGTTTTGCACTGTTGAAAATCACTCTCCACCAAATTCATTGACATGTGAACAGCCAAATCAGAAGCGCGTGTAATTGCTGGTTTTGCTGTAGTTCAATAATGCCTATCACCATCAAAACATTTCTGGTTGGTGTGTTGTTGTGTATCTAATCGTCCTCGGTTAATTGATAAAACCAGAGAGGATCGTTTCCAACTGCTGCTGATGCTGATTGAAATGTCAGCCGTTTCCAAGGGACTGCACTGAAGTGGGAGATATGATGTCGGCGATCATCGACACGGCTATGATCATCACCACCACCACCACTAGATCGTGTCACCAGGACAGAGGAGCAGTAACTGCTGTTGCTGCTGCTGCCAGCATGCACAAACACACAAACGCAGACTGACAGCAAATCAACCGGCAAACCAGCCAGCCAAACCGAAAGTCACCGAGGGAGAGATACATTTCACTTCACGTAACGTGACATTGATAGCTGTAAATGAACTGTGGCGCAAACCACCGCTGTGTTTTCGATGACGAGCCTTCACGTTTTAACGACCACCAGAGCACAATCATTACTGCAGCACACATCATAAAGTGTTCGCTTTCACCAAACATCACCAAACAAGGCTGCTCTCTACAGTTTATTAGTACCATTGTACACGTCGACTTTTAATTGAAAAAGATGGCCAACAACAACAGTGGCAAAACCATCCTCGTCACCGGCGGCTCTGGCTTCGTCGGCTCGCACTGCGTCCTCGAACTCCTCGAACACGGCTACCAGGTGGTGGTCGTGGACAACCTAGTCAACTCGGTGCAGCTGAAGGACAGCCCACTGCCGGAGAGTCTGATTCGCGTGCAGGAGATCACCGGAAAGCGGGTGACCGCCTTCTACAATGGCAACATCGGTGACAGCGCCTTCCTCGCCTCCGTTTTCAAGGCACACCAGCCCGTGGACGTGGTGATGCACTTTGCCGCGTTGAAGTCGGTCGGCGAGTCGGTCTCCTCGCCGCTGGCCTACTACCGCAACAACGTCGCCGGCACCATTACCCTCCTCGAGACGATGCAGCAGTTCGGCGTGAAGAAGTTCATCTTCTCCTCCTCGGCCACCGTCTACGGCTCGCCCAGCTACCTGCCCCTTGATGAGCGCCACCCCATCGGCCAGTCCTGCTCCAACCCCTACGGCAAGTCAAAGTTTGTCGTGGAGACGATGCTTGCTGACCTTGCTGCTTCTGATCCCGCCGGCTGGTCCATCGTCTCGCTGCGCTATTTCAACCCCGTCGGTGCCCACCCCTCAGGGCGGATCGGCGAGGACCCGGCGGGCATTCCCAACAACCTGATGCCCTTCATCACGCAGGTGGCCGCCGGTCGACGGCCGCAGCTGTCGGTCTTTGGCGATGACTACGAGACGGCGGACGGCAGCGCCATTCGCGACTACATTCACGTTCTCGACCTGAGTGACGGGCACATTGTGGCGCTGGAGAAGATGCTCCAGGAGGAGGAGAACTGGAAGGGCTATCACGCACTCAACCTCGGCTCAGGAAATGGCGTCTCCGTCTTTCAGGTAAGCAGGTTTACCGATTTTGCTATACTTTAAACTATGTTTTCCACTTTTCCCACTCTAGGTAATTGCCGCCTTTGAGAAGGCAACCGGGGTGAAGATTCCCTACAAAGTGGTGGGCCGTCGCCCGGGCGACGTGCCGGCGGTGTACGCCGATGCCCGCCTCGCCGAGCAGCGACTGGGCTGGAAGACGAAGCACAGCATTGAGGAGATGTGCGCCTCTGCCTGGAACTGGCAGTCGCAGAATCCCAAAGGTTTCGCTAGTTAGCTTCGTCTTTTGCTTTGCCTAACCTTGCTTTGTTTGGATAACCTTCAACTTGTGCTGCTGCTGCCAAATGCTACCACTGCTGCTGTTGATGATGATTGCTGAATCAATAGTAGTCACTGCTCATTAGTTTCCACTTTTTTATGCTAAAAAACTTTTTGTTTATTAAAAATATGAAAAAGTTTTATTTCTCCAAAGTGTCACAGGTAAATACAATCTAGCGACAATTTGTAATTAATGTGTGTCTTTCTGTCTTGAAAACTAGTGTTTAGGTTATGAAAAAGTGGATTTATAGGCTAACTGTCAACATAAATTTTTTCTAGAATTCATTCATAAGAAAATACTTGAAGTAAACTTTTTCCCAGAGTTTTAACATTTAAGGCGGGACACCGCGCACTTTTTTACTGTTTTTTCGAATTTTGATTTTGGGGTGGCTAGGATGTTCATGAAAAATGTACTCAATACAAATTGTTAAGAATTTCATGTAGGAAAGTTTTGTGTTAATATTTTGACCCTCCGGTGAACGGATAGCAGTTATGAAGGATTTAAATGTTCCGAACCTATTGGTACATTTTCCGGAACCATGGAGGCTGGCATGAAATAATCAGATAAGCCAAATGAAAGGGGACGTCTAAAACTAAAAAATGTTGGAGCTAAATTATTTTTATGTGGTCTCAGACTTTCTAGGATAATTTTTGATTCAAGATTTAGGATAAAAAATGCAAGAAAATTTGGAAAGTTTACTTTTAAAATATTCTCAAAAAATAATAAGAGCTGCATTAAAAGATCTAAGTCCAACAAACTTTAGATTTTTTTGTTACCTCTCATTTGGCATCTCTGATCATGCAATGCCAACTTCCATTTTGCCGGAAAGTGTACCGTTCGGTGTTAAGATCTTAATAAAAAATGCCGTTGACTAGTAAAGGAAACCAAAAATTCGAAAAAAGTTGCTATGTGCGCGTTGTCCCCCCTTAAATGTACAAAGTTTTTTCTTCTGAAACCAGCCTTGAACTTGATTAACAAAATGTCTTTTGTTTGTTAATTAATTTGAACGAGATAATAAGCATTTCCAGATAGATTAGAACGAACTAAAAAATATTACAGTTATTAGAAAAGCAATAAAAAAATAGTGACTACCTTGGAGAACGACTTCATTGACATAACAGAGTGATTGAAGTAGGTGAGTCCGTACTTCTTATGCGTCAAAAACTTTTCAAAGTACAGC